ATCCTGATGGTAACTGTTCAAGTAATTTCTCTTTAGTATTCTTACTTGATTCTTGTGTTAACTCCCTCATTGTTATAGTTTTGAAATATTTAGAATAAGGAATTTAGATGATTGCGGGTAAGCTCTGAGTCTGTTTCAGTACTAAATAATGATGTTAAAATGCTTTAATAGGATGTAAATAGAAGTGTTTTCTGTTTATTTATAATTAATTAAAACATTCATTGATAAATAAAGGACTAGCAGTTAAAGTGTACTCTATTAAAAAAAATCTTCCGTAAATTGTGTTCATTATTTCATTTAATCTATTAAATTTACAGCATGTAAATCAAAGCTCCAGGCTGTCATGAAACAAAGTGTTGAGTGGGGCATACAGTACCTATTTCACTCTCCTCGCTCTCAGACGGCACAGCAGGCGCAGGCTCAGGCTCAGGAGGCGAAGCTGCGGTGGGTGGAGGGCCACAGGGACAGCCACCCTACAAGTCAGAAAGCACGCTTTGTTACGATGAGGTGTAATTTCTGACATTAGCATGAAGTAAAAGGCAATTAAATAATATTTTAGGCATCACCTGGCATGAGTCACTTGTCTTGGGTGGTGGAGGGATTGTTGCACCCATGCTGCAAAACAGAACAATAAAATAAACACAAAACATTAAATTTTAAGACATTGTTTTGGAGGAAAAGCCTAAACAGATATTGCAACAGGGTTACTTCAGCTGAACATATTGCTTAGTTAATTTCTCAACATTTTAGTGTAATCAAATCATATACACCATCAGATTTAAAGTTACGTCCCTCTCCTTGGTACCACTTCACTGAACCACAGCATCTAAAACTGCAAAAAGTGAGCTTAAATTGAGTAAAACAAGCAGCGCACAAAGTAAGGCCACTTTAATAATCCCTGGGTCGCTGGTTTCTGATGATGATTTTGAGATCACATCCTGTGTTGCGAGACCCAATCTTTGTGGCGTGTTGGCCGGTTCTGCACCTCTTGAGTTTTGTAACTTGGTTCGTTGCCCCGCAGAAGTCGCAGGTTGTTTGAAGACACAAGTGTACGATCGTGTACTGACGCCCGGAGGGAGATATTGCAACTGTTTGAAAACGTGTGTAGAAAGAATCAACCCCCCCCCTAAAAAAAGACACACAACAAAGTCTTGGCTTCAAGTTTTGACTCCTTCTCTTTCTTATCGGCACTTGTGATGCGATGTTGTCGGAGCCCTGACAACTATCATTTAGGAAAATACTGCAGCGACTTCTCATGGCTTAACAACCAGTATAAGCCTGTATCTGTGTGATGACGGTACGGAGTGAGCAAAGCGACCACAGCGGACGATATATTGGCACCTTAAAACATTCATTCCGTGAACTTTGATTTGAGATTTTGGCCCACATGCCTCTATAATAATTGTGAGGACAGATGCTGAGAAGGTGTACTCACTAGCCTCTTACCCTACCTAACCCTATTTAACCTGTCCCAAACCTTTAAAGACCGTTCTTTTATCCCCACAGGAAGCTGTGTCAGACCCCCAACAATCATAGTGGGCTCCTGGTGAGCCCAAGAGTGTAGTAAAACAAAACCTGTATTCAAATCCATCAGAAAACTAATGATTTGTAGTTAGGTGTTAAAAAATTAAGTTAGAGCTCAGCAGCACACACATATCAGATCTGTCTGATCGGTGGGTGTCTGAATACTAGTAGTCTAGTTTTTAATGTTTTGGCTAATTGGTTTTTAATTCAGTTTTTCCAAGCAGTTTATTTCTAAAAATTCTCAGCAGCACAGACAAAAGTCTGCTACTTTAGTTAAAGTTACAGTGCTGAAAATCTCACCACCAGATGTCAGTCTTTTGCAGACTGCAGTCAACTGATTTCAGCTTGTTTTTAAACCCCCCCCAATTCAAGTGCATAATCCCATCAAACTTCTGCAGGACAAACAACTGACTGCAGTTCATTTGTATTGAGTACAGGCTGTCAGTCAGCTGTTTACCTCAGTTGTCAATGTGTTTCTAGGTCTATTTACACTGGAGGCAGCTGTAAAACTGTGAAAGCTTTGAAAGAGTCTGAAACGAATCGCTTTCTTCAGATAACAGTGTCACTGAGGTTTGTTTATCACATGGAACAGCGATTTTTAGGACACAAGAGACTAAAATTACCTGGCATAATGTTAGCTTATAACCAACTTTTGTTGTTTAGCCTGCTCATTGTCTGCTCAGGAGGGTTGCGTGTCTAATCGGCTGACAATACCCAACTGTGACAATATCAAGAATAAATAAGCACGTTTATGCACGTTTCTGTGTGTTAGACCTCTCTGAGTTCAATTTAGGAGATGAGGCTTGAGGTGAGGAGCAAGAGGATGATGTTTTATTAAGATGCCATCGTGCGTTTTTCACTTCTTTGGTGAAGGGGACCGATAAAACCTAGGTGTAACTTTTCATATCTTGAGTGGGAAGGCGCAGACACAAATTAAATCTCACCTCCACCGTACGCGAACGCTTACGATTTCTCTGCGGCCTCTGACGTATGTTGTTGCTGGTCTCTACCCACATACAGTGATGTACATCTCAGTCACTGTATTCAAGTTTGCAGGGTAACATGGCGGCTTCCATAAAGTGACACCTGCTCCTCTGTATTTTTTTTTAAGAGAACTAATTAGTTTATGAGAACCTCAATTTGTTGGAAATGTAATTACACACTAATCGATGCATATTCATAAGCACAATATCTTTTTCTATTAAACAAACTCAAAAAAAATAAGTGACTGCACCTTAAAAACATATACAAATAATAGTACCACAGTCCGAGCTGTTCAGATGAAAAAACAAAACAGTTTTCTGCATTGCAGAGTTGAGGTATTAACAACAACGGAAGCAAAACAACCTCTGGGGTTTTAATTTAACAATTAGTTGTGTTGTGAGGCTTTGCTTTGTGCACCCTACGGTGGGGGGGGCCGTGTTCTTCACCGTTAGGTGGGCGGAACAGGGCATGTGGTCAACTCTACAGTCTGTTTCAGATCTCACCTAAGCACTTGTTTTGGCATTATGAAAAAAAAATCATCTGTGATTCCTTAAACCAGGAAGACCAGCATTAGACAATGGCTTCCCACTGTTTTTAGCAACAGGTAAGTTCCCAGTGTACTGACTTTAGCAGCCACGTCCGGAAGAAGCCCATCTCTGGAAGGTGCAGGATCCCGGGATTAGCCTCGCACAACTGCACGAAGCCTTTCAGCTCGGCCACTTTCCGTGGGTCCATGCTGCAGTTTCACGTCCACCAGACGGAGCTCTAGGTGCAGGGGGAAACCAGAGAGGAAAAACAATCAACAGCTTAGCAAAGTCCGGAGTTGTGTTTAGCTGCACGTAAACAAATGACAGCATCCGTAAGCTAGGTATGCTAACTCACAAGGATTGAATGAGCGTGCGCAGTAACCAGCTCCACAGTTCAATATAAAACCAGCACCAAGCGCTACTGAAGCTTTATAAATGAACCAACCACGCAACGCCTATGATTAGTGACTGTTTCAGGGGTCGTAGGTCAGAAGTTTCTAGAAATGTGAATTCATCTGTGACGCGGCGACCGTTTGACGCATAATAACGTCGTTAGCTTGCTGCACCGCGGGCCATGATTAATGAAAATAGTTCGTAGATGCAAACATTATTTTCAGGAATAAAAGCAAACTCACCCTGCCGAAGAAATGCCTAACTGACAGTTAAGGAAAAAACACACAGAGGAAGCCTGCGGTCGATGTTAGTACTATAATACACCTTCACCGACAGTGGCGTCGCTCCTGGGTTTTCATTCAGGCGGGTTATCGGACAGACCAAGGGGGTAAGGGTGGTGTGTGCCCTGAACCTGGCCTGACAGAAACGGTTCTGCTTCACGAATCAACTCAGCTCCCCCAAACTTTGTAAACCCTAGAAGTACGAGATTATTTCATTAGAGGGGTTAATGAACCCAAGTAGTAAAAACGTTAACATTATTTTCTTCTTATATAAATATCTGTAAATGGAAATATTAAAAAAAAAAATATATTTAATATAAATATATATTAATATTTAATATTCTTTCTACTGACATAGTGAACAGCATTTCCTGTAGTTGTACTGGATCATTTTAATATAACAGTGCATTTAGTTTTTTTTACTAGTCATGGCTGTATCAGCATCGTGACAATAATAATAAATAAATGAATAAGCACTTTAACAGGCAAACAGTCACAAAGCGCTGTATACAAGAAGAGGAACATAAATACGAAAATTAAGTGCAATAATAGGCAATAAAAACATACAAACCCATCCCACCTTGAACCTTGTCTCGTTATTCCCTGAAATGTCACGCTCAGGGTTAAAATGCACAGGTAGCATGTTACCTCATCATTGTAGTGGACCAGTTTTCCCGGAGTAGAGCCTCCCAGGCAGTAACGCGCCTGACGGTTTAGACATTTTAATTTTCTAATCATATACGCTGAATTTCATAGTGTAAATCGCTAATAAATATACACGTATTTGTTGTTTCTACCATGTAGTAGAAATGCTAGAAAGAAGCTCCTGTAATATTCTACATTTTTTTTCTTGTTGTAAGTTAAAATCATACTAAATAATAGAGTGACAGTGTTGTGCTGGTTTCTAGTTTAGTAGTTTATTTTTTTATGAGAGAGCAATGTTTGTGACTTGTTTTTACAAGCTGATGGTGTATTTTATGGAGGACATACAGTGCCTCAATGAATCAAATAAATACATCATTCAGTAAATAATAAAATCTGATAATTAATTAAAATATGAAATCATACATTAAATAAATCTATACATAATTAATTGAAATATCAATAATGTCATTTAAAACATTTAATAATTTATTTGTTAACAATTTTAATTAATTACATTTAATTAATTGTTTAAGTAGTTATTTGATTATTTTTGGCACTCGATAGCCTCCATTTTATTGAGTGTACAAATGACTAAAATAAAAGCTGCTTGTAGTCGGTTCAACAAGTAGGAAAGGGAGAGGGTTCCGCTTCTCTACCTGGGAAACCAAACTCAGGGAAGCAATTCTCATGAACTACAAACGAGCGTGGCTAGCAGACGTGAGAATAGCGAGCTAGCTAGGTGTAGCTGTCATTCAGGGTACATATAACTGCTGGAGGAGAGACTGTTAACCTCGGTAAGTGATAATAAGTTACTTCAGAGTGTCTCTGTGAATATGAGTGCTCGGTAGTTCGCTGACTGTCACACTTTGTTCCGCAGGGGAGCGACATGCTGTGACTGATCGGTGTCCTCAAGTTGCAGCAACAATGTTGCTCTCAGCGAGCGCCTTGGTGAGGACCGCTGTCAAGCTGATGCCACGGACCTGGAGTGGAGGTTAGAGACAGTAACTTTACAATCACTACAATGACATTACTGTGCAAAAGTCCTGAACCATGGCTCTCTTATGTACATGTTGGGTGGGAATTGTGGGGGGGGGGAACCCGTCTAGAGACAGTATATAAGGCAATAACAGAGCTTGAATAATTCTAACCAGCTTGAAAGTCAATATTTGGTACGACCGCCTTTATTCTTCAACACAGTCTAATGTCTTTTAGGCAGCTTTCTTTTCATTTCTTTAAGTAATCTTCAGGAATAGTTCTCCAGGATTCTTGAAGGACATTTAAAGCTCTTCTCTGGATGCTGGTTTTGTTCTGTTCTCTTTCAACATGATCCCACACTGCTCCAATAATGTTGAGGTCTGTGCTCTGGGGAGGCCAATGTGTGTTTTTCTAGGTATGCTTTTACTGCATTGGTAGTGTGTTTGGGATCATTATCATCCTGAAAAATCAATCAGACACTTTCCAGATAGTATCCGGTTGTTAAGTGATGACGTATAAACCCTGTTTCCATTAAGGCTGGTGTCTTTTAAAAGTGTTTGTATTGTGTTCAGTTTAATCTGAACAATCCCTTAAAATAGTCAGTGATCACTGGCTGATCACCTCTCTGGGTTTTTATTACCGCCATTTGTCTGCAGCACGTTGTAAAGCTCAGTTGATTTAAACCAGTTTATTGTTTGGGAGCCGCCAAATATTTGAATGTGTCAGAAAAGTATCACTCTGAAGCTAACGAAGATTTGAATGGGTGCATGAAGCTGTTGTTCATAGCAAGTAATCCAAACTATGCAGCAGGATATCAGTGACTAACCACGTGCTGGGGATGGATCATCACAGGCGTTCTGCTGACTGAAGTTTGGTCCGTTTTCAGTGTCTTTTTCCTGTTGTACGATTGCATTTGTCTTTGCCCATTGGGGTCCCTCACATTAACTTTCATTGAGGGCAAAAAAGTTAGCGTTCATCCTCCAACTTCACTGTGCTAATGTGTTTTTATTTTCCATATCAACCATAGCTCTGTCAGCTAGCCCAACTTCAGTAACCTTACAAACATTGCTGCTGTTTAGTTTTCTGTCTACATGCATGTCCAAAGTGATTGCTGCGCTGTACTTTTCATTTTTCAGGATAACTCAGTCAGAATATGGTGTATCATCTTTGGATAGAAACTAGCGAACTTACTCCCCACTAACCTCTAACTTCATAAATCCTGTTTTTCATGGATGCCTGAATCTTAAACTTGATTGTTGCATCTGGTAGAGCAGCCACACTTTTTACTTCATTACAAACTAAAGAATTTTGGCACTTTTTAGCTCCCAGTGATGCCGCAGTGTTTGTTTGAGTTGAAGAGGAGTTTGGACCCTGAAATGGCGAATGACGTCAGACTTAAAAGGCAGATTGCATGGTAGATCAAAGTCTGATGGTACTTTTCTGCATTCATAATTCCATCAATTTTGACAAGATCCCCAACACCACTGGCTTAAATGCAACTCCAAACCATGATAGAGCCTCCACCCTGTTTTACAGATTGCTGTAGACACTCACTGTTGCACCTCTCTCTTGACTTCCCCTGTACGTACTGATGACAGTTTGAACCAGAAATGTCACATTTGGATTCAACACTCCATCAGACCTGTTGTCACTGATTTTTGGTCCAGTTCTTGTGTAATTTGGCATCCCTCAACCTTCCACTGAGACCATTTCTAATGACCCTTCAGTGAACAGTAGGTGGATCAACAAAAGGTTCTTATGGACACAGCCACCCCTGTGCGTCTTCATTTGGCTCAAAACATTTGCACAGTACTGGAGCTTAGATCCACTGAACTGAACTGGCATGTAGTTACAATGCCATGATTTTTTTTTTCTTCTTCCTGATTTATTTATTGATTATGTGTCCCATTTATGTGGTTTAGCTAATGAATATGCAAAGATGACCTGAGAAAATACAAAATGTGGTCCTTAAATGAAGGTTTAATTTAAAAAAAAAAGTTAAATTGAAATTGCACTCCGCTTTCCAAAAATGTGGTTAATTAATCACAGTTCATGATTTAGCAAAATACTTTTTCACATTGGGACAGGTAGGGTTTTTTTCTCCTTATTAAATAAAATATTCACTTAAAACTGAATTTTATATTTACTCAGGTTATATTTTTCTAATTAAAAAAACAAATGTGTTTGTTGATGAGCTTGATGATGATGTGTACGACTATGCAGAAAACGAAGAAATCAGGGAAATGCTTTTTCACAGTACTGTACTGATGGGCTACTCTAACTTCACCATTGCTTCAACCTGTAAAATACAGCATATGTTGATGCTCAGATAATAAATATCTAATAAAGTCATAATAATTTAACGCTGTCCAGCGCCGCTGTGCTTTTTAGTTGTTTATATAAAGGTATGTTTTGTAATCGCTCTTTTAAAAAAATGTAACTTCAAACCTTCACCACCAGTGGGCAGCGATTTACCCGTCGGTACACTGAAATATTTTCTGATGCGAGACGCTGTTCTATGCTGATAAAGCTGCTGTGACGCAACTTATTGGTTTGCGAAGCCTGGAGCTGATCGTTGTCACTCCCCCCCACCTCTAGGTGATTGCTAAATGAGACCCCCCCCCCCTTTTTTTTTTTTTTTTTTTTTTTTTTAATGGTTTTGTATGGATAAAGTTTTACATATTGGCTGAAATCAGACACACCGTAACTGAATACATATGTATAATATTACATTTGCTCTAGTTTTACACTTTAAAAAAATCTGTTAATGTCACAGGGCTTAGATCACTCACCAATTTTAATAGTCAGTTGTCCCATGACATCCTGTTGTTACCTAGTAACATGAGCAAAAGGTAAGTAGGTGGGAGATAATAGATTGTTAATGCAACTGATCTCTCTCTCTCTCTCTCTCTCTCTCTATCTCATTTTGAAGACACCCACTCGTCCCACTGATATGTTGCATGAAACCGTAAAGACAGCCAGACTTCTACCCAGTAAATAATCATCGGGATGCTTTGTAGTGGCCTGAAAATTGCTATAAATGGGGTTGGGGCTTTTTTTTTTTTTTTTTTTTTTTTTTAACTTTTACTAACGTTTAGTACCGAACTCTAAAATTGTTTAAAAAGATGCATGAGAAAAAACTACTATATTCAATACTCCAGCATCACCCAGCGGACAGAACTGATATAACTTTGCTTTAGTCAAACTGAACTGACCAAAGCACCTGTTTACAGTCTGTGTGTGTTTCTGTCTGCAGGATGTATTTGGTGCCTGTGCAGAAACATTTCTGTGAAACCTGGCGGGTTGAAGCCAAAGACGGTTCCACCTCGTTACCTTGGCCAGCCCAGTCCTTTCACTCATCCGCACCTCATCAAACATGGTGAGTATTGTTTACAGTGGACAGCTGATCTTGTAAAATGTCATTTCTTAATTTATTTCTTTAAGGAAAGCATGCTTCTCCTCAGGTGAGGTAACCCCAGGTTTGAGCCAGACGGAATATGAGCTCCGCAGACACCGACTGGCCTCGCTTATCGAGGCTCAGGCCGAAAGACTCGGACCTTCTGCTTCCTCCAGCACCCATGTGGCCATCATTTTGTCTCACCCAACTAGATACATGACCAATGACATCCCTTATCCCTTCCATCAGAACCAGGTGAGCACTTGCTTTCAAGTTGCATTCAGTTCAGAATTCTTCAGAAAGGAGAAAAATTTGGATTTTGCTCTTCTTCCTTTTCCTGGGTGAAATTCCTGGGTAAGTTTTTACTAATTCATCTCAAAACACATGTTCCTCAGGATTTCCTCTACCTCAGTGGTTTTCTCGAACCTGACAGTGCCTTGGTTCTTCACGGGAAGGGTCAACCAGACCAGGCTATTTTGTTCGTCCCTCGCAGAGACCCGGGGAGAGAACTGTGGGACGGACCGCGGTCTGGGAAGGACGGAGCAGCTGCTTTGACTGGCATAGAGAGAGTTCATAGCATAGAAGAACTGGGTGTTGTACTCAAGAGCCTGAAAGGTGGGTGCATGGGAGTGGTGGTGGTGGTGGGGGGGGGTTACTCTTTGCAATCCTGCGGAGAGAAAAAATAAAAGTGTTATGGTTCATTCCTACCAGATCACTAACTGCCATATCTTTCTCTGAGAAAGGAAAAGGAGGCCCAATGGTTTTGGGTGGTCAGTCTGAATTATGCATGTTGCTTGAATAAAGAAGCAAAGTGACACTGCTTCAGGGTCTTTCACAAACCTTATTATCACAGGAATATATATGGATGGATGGATGGATGGAGTATTTTGGAAGCAAAACTTCTGCCCAGGAGTGGTGGCCCTATCAAATTAACCTCAAGGTCAGAAAATCTGCAAAAGACCCACAAGTTTCTTGCTTGTACAGTTTGGGGGGAATTAGGTTTATAATGATGCCACACGTTTGGCATTATGGCCATAATACACAGCACAGGGGAAAACCAACCACAGCATATCAGCACAAGCACTTCGTATCAACTGTCAGCACGGTGAATGGGCTCATTTTCCAGCCACAGGACTCGGGCACCTTGAAGTCATTGAGTTGACAATGAACTCCTCTTCATACCAAAGTATTCTCCACGCAGACAAGAGGCCCTCTGTGCAGCAGCTGAAGCTTGGCACAAATTAAGCCATGCATTAGGACTATGATCCCTAACAGCAAATGGGTGAAAGAGAAAAATCAAGGTGTCAGTCAGACCTCACCTGACAGGCCTAGACTCGCCTCAAGTCCAGACCTCGGCACAACTAAAATGCTTTGGTGGAAGCTTAAGAGAGCTGTGCATAAATGAATGCCCACAAACCTCAATGAGGTGAAGCAACGTTTCTCCACAATTATGTAAGAAACTGATAATTGAGGTTATTGCTGCTGAGGTGGGTTGCTCTTCATCTTCATAAACGAAGAGCAGGTGTACTCAAAACTTCACTAGAAGCAATAAATAAGGATTCTAGAGTTGTGCAATGTGTGACCTGTTGATTATTGTTCTGTGTTCACATTGTTTTGGCTCTGCACCTGCGGATCTGCATGGATTCTTTTGTCCTTCAACTGTAAAATGCTAATGGGGTATTGTCATCAGCCCATTGAGCAGCCGGGTGCATGTGATAACTTAAGAGTGAGGCAAAGTAGGATTTACAAATTGATACCATAGGTGCATCTACTCAAAATCTGGGATGAGTATATAATATAATTTTATTGACTGATGTGAAGACATTCTTTTTGACAGGACGGTAGTAAAGAAAGATGGGATGTGTGAGGTAAATAAAAATGCAGTTGTTGGATAAATGCTTTCCTATTTCAGTGCCAAAACTTTTCATTTAGGTATTAAAATGTTTTTCTTTTTTTTTTTCTATTTAGCTCTTTTATCACTTCAAATTCACTCTTAGCATTTCTGTCTTCTCTGATCCTCTTCCAGGCACTATGCTGTGGTACGACACTTCTCAGCCGGCTCACCCTCAGCTCCACCAGGCTCACGTGTGTCCCGTTCTGGAGGCGGGGCCGACACCACGCACTCTCAGACCTCTCATACACTCTCTCAGGGCCCTCAAAAGCTCAGCCGAAGTGGCTCTCATGCAAGAAGCGGGTCGAATCACGGCACAGGTTGACGTTTAAATTGGTTCTTGTGAAGCTCTTGAAGACTCCAAGTGAATGTTAGATTTATGAAGTGTACTTGCAGCAGCTCATATTGTTATCTTTCAGGCTTTTAGGAGGACAATGGCTCTGTCTCAAGGAGATGTGGATGAAGCTGTCCTGTTTGCTAAGGTGACTTCTGTGATGACCTTTGTCTTCACTGCCTTTACGTGTGCGAGCAGTCATTATCTTTGTGTCTTTCATTGATTAGGCTCATGATGTAATTATTAGAACAGTAAGTGTTAGTTTATTGATTTTTACAGTTGGAGAAGCAGCTTTGAAATTTTCCAAATTTACCTCCTAAGTTCACGAATCTGCTTTAAAAGAGCAGGTATGGAACTCCAGAGAGTTGTACTTTAAACTGAAAATGCTGTTTAAGTCTTACAGTGTCTACTTTATTTGTTACGTACTGTACTGTGCAAAAGTCTTGAGCCTCCCCTCCATTCTTTGTATTTAACATAACCTTTTTTCCAGTTTGATTTTGAGAATCGGATCCATGGTGCTAACTTTCTTGCGTACCCTCCTGTGATTGCTGGAGGAAATCGAGCTAATACTCTGCACTACATAAATAACAACCAAATAATCAAGGTAATTACTCCATGAACACGTCAGAGGACACAGATATTCCTGAGAATAATTACTTTACATGTATTTAAGTAGCATATATGACTCATTATGTTTTGCTCCCTCCTCTTTGTCTCCATCAGGATGGTGAGATGGTGTTGCTGGATGGTGGTTGCGAATACTTCGGTTATGTCAGCGATATCACTCGAACGTGGCCAATAAATGGAAAGTAAGTAAGCTGATTACTAGATCCTTAAAATATTTGGTGCCAACTGTTTACAGAAGTGATAGTTTGTTTAATGAGCTCATAAATATGGAGAGTTTATGCCCTCAAGAAGGACACAAAAGCTTTTTCAATATGGGGATCTGAAAAATTACCTACCACAGTGCGTATTGGCTTGCATAGCAACAGATGATCTAGTGTGGCAACCCTTAATAGAACCAGACATTTGTTTAAAAAAATTAAAAAAAGGGGTGATCTAGCTTTTGGAAATGAGAGAAACTAAACTACAAAACTACAATCGCTGATTGTAGGTTTCAATCCTTTACGCCTTGAGTTGTGGCAGAAGTTCTTTTCCATCTGTTATCATGACTTCGCTAACGATAGAGTGAAGTTGCCATTTGTGCATCGCAGCCCATGAGTCAGTGTACAGTGTAAATTTGTCAAACTTCATTTTACATCCAGGTTTATTTAGTCATCTATTTGTTCCAAGTATTTGTTTCCAGAGTGCATGTGTTAATAAAGGTGGTTCACATCACCTCCAGTCCTGGTTTGGTGATCGTGGTATTCAACTTTAAACTTCATTTTATCTGATTTCTACAATTTAGGTCCCTTAAATTAAAGAAACTGTAGTCTGTTTTTGAAGGTTGATCAGTTCCAGTCACAGAAATAAACTTTTTTTTTTTTTTTTTGTGTGTTCAATACTAGATTCAGTCCTGCACAGATTGAGCTCTACGAATCCGTCCTGGAGGTCCAGCGTTCCTGTTTATCTCTTTGCTCTCCAGGCGTCAGTCTGGATCACATCTACAGCACCATGCTGGCTCTGCTGGGACGACAGCTTAAGCGGCTTGGCATCCTCGAGGCCAGTACCAGCGATGCTGAGGCGCTAAAGGTAATAATTGGAAAAGCAGTGGGTGCCCAGATTGGTTGTGCACTTTATATTTAATGAGGCTCATCTGCACAGTGTCATGGTCCCTAGAGGAGGAGTCCGGACAAATCTTACTTTTCCTCAGAATTTTTACACATGCAGCGGACTTCAAGTGGTCGTCAAAGAAGTATAACAGGAATAACTACTCTGTTGTCGGGTCTTCGGCTGTCCGTATCTGCAACAGAGTATAATTTAGGCTTCAGAAGGAATGCTGGCGTTATATTCTTATGAAGTCAGATTTCCCTTTCAGTATTACAGGTGATATCTTGTGTCGGTAGTTACTAAAGCTGGAGCTTCAATTCAACATTTCAAAAAGTTTTTGTTTTTTGTTTTGTTTTTTTTTGTGTGCAGACCAGATGACCTAATCCAGAGGATTCCTCTCAGGTCCATGCTGGACTTCCATTCATCTTTTATTTTGGTGTTTTAAGTGCTTTTTAATGTGGTTGTGCTTTGTTAAGGTTTATGTGAGGTTTGACTTTAGTAGAACCACTCGTCTGACTGCTGCAGCCTTTTTAACTATTTATTTATTTAAATTCCAGGCTGCAAGGCGGTACTGCCCCCACCACGTTGGCCATTACCTGGGCATGGATGTCCACGACACTCCTGAACTATCTCGCTCGCAACCTCTTCAGCCAGGAATGGCCATCACCATAGAGCCAGGTTTGAAATCCACACTGCTGCACCTGCATGTAAATGCTCTGTCCCGTTACCGTTACGGCTCACATTGTGTCTTGCTGCAGGGCTATACATCTGTGAAGACAACGACCAAGCGCCGAAGCACTTTCGAGGCCTGGGTGTCAGGATTGAGGATGACGTGGTTATCAGAGAGAAGGGAGGACCTCTGATTCTGTCCTCTGACGCACCAAAGACCATCGTTGATGTAGAGCGGGCCTGTGCACAGAGATAGAGCAGGGAGAGAAAGAGAACTGACCGAGTGCTACTCACTGCTATCTGTTTATATCCTGAGACTCAGGGCCGTGGTGCATTACAGGTGGGAGCACACAATAAGACTTTAGTTTTTAAGTCACAACAACCTGTTATCCTCACTACTCTGTCTATGAAATACTGGCTGCATTAGAGCAACTCAGCTCCAAGACATAAAACCAAACAGCCAAACATAAAGTTGCAATTCTTTATTTACAAAAAAAGGCAGATTACAGATTTTATCAGTGAGCCAAATCTGACACTAAAGCCTAAATCAACATCTACAAACAACAGCTAACATCCAGCTACCACAAAAGTATTTTACGTGATAAAACCGGTTTGATTCTCACCATGTTTTCTGAACTATGGTTCATTTTCATATCTCACTGAAGAAGTTGCACACAGAAGTGCATAATTGTTTTCCAACTCATACTGCAGTACAAAGGATCCAAACCCTGAGTACTGAACAGACCATAAATCTGGAGTTACTGTGATGTCTTCATTAAGCTGCTGAATGTGAAAAAGGTCACAAGAGTGTCAGTGTGTGTTGGATTTTGTTTTTCTTTTAGCAGAGAGGAGAGTTGTGTTGTTTTCTAAATTATTGTGTATTAAAATATTTCCAATATTTCTTTCATAACTAATAAATTCAATGGGTTTAACTTGGGTTACTTATGGAGGATGTTTTGTTGGTCGATCATAGTGAGAGATGACATTTCCTTCACTATATTATAAGGGTCAGTTGTCCCCTTATGTCTTGGACAAAAAGGACAGTATTGTAGGACCATTCATTCAATTCAGTTTTTATCTACATGGTGTCAAATCACAACAGAATTCGCTTCAATGTGGTTTATATTGTAAAGTAAAGACCCTACAATAGGCAGGAAGAAAGTTTAGGCGATACCAGACTGTGGACAGACCAGCCCTAATTCAATGCTTTATCAAAAATGAAAGTTTTAAGCCTAACCTTAAAAGTAGAGAGGTGGTCGGTCTCCTGAATCCAAACTGGGAGCTGGTTCCAGAGAAGAGGGGCCTAAAAGCTGAAGGCTCTGCCTCCCATTCTACTTTAAATACTCTGGAAACTTTAAATAAGCCTGCAGTGTGAGAGCCAAGTGCTCTTTTGGAATGATAAAAGTCATGAAATGCTTTGGTCCTATTGTCAAATCTCAAGGTTTAAATTTAAAAGATCTCAGTGCATTTCAGGTGACAGCTGGTATATTTATACTTACTATCTAACTAGTAAATTTTTAATAAAAATATATTTAATGTCAAAGTCAGGGAAAGTTCAAGGGTTTTTGGTGGTTAATCTGAATATAGACGGATAGTATTAGCATTAATGCAGTATTAGTATTAGTTCAAGGTCAATTACAGACCTTATCATCACAGGGCTTTGCGCAGTCCTGTGGAGTACTAAGTTCCTCCTTATTGCTTCCATAGAATCTCAGAGGGTAATCAAAAGCACATCAGTAATTGATCATAACAGGTGTGTTTTGTGTGGGTTCATTTGTGGAATTTCTGGCCTTCTTAATGATGTTGGGACCATCAGTTGTGTTTTTCAGAGGTTGACAGCCCTATTTGACAACTGTTAGAATTCATATTGTGGTAAGAACCAATCAGCTAAGTAAAGAGAAATGACAGTCTATCATTACTTTAAGAACTGAAGGTCAGTCAGTCTGAAAAAATTGCTAAAACTCTGAATGTGTCCCCAAATGCAGTCGCAAAAACTATCAAGTGCTTAACAGCACTTCAGATTAGAGCCCAAATAAATGCCACACAGAGTTCCAGCAGCTGACACATCTTTACATCAACTGTTCAGAGGAGACTGTGTGAATCAGGCCTTGGTGGTCAAATAGCTGCTAAGAAACGGCCACTAAGGAAAAGCAACAAGCAGAAGAGATTTGTTTGGGCCAAGAAACACCAGGAATTGACATTAGACCAGTGGAAATCTGTGCTTTTTGAACAGTTGGTCTCTACATGCATGGTTCGCCCCGTGAAGCATGGAGGAGGTGATGTGATGGTGTGGGGGTGCTTTGCTGGTCACACTGTTGGGGAATTATTCAAAATTGAAGACACACTGAACCCGCATGGTTACCACAGCATACTGCAGTGACATGCCAACCCTTCTGGTTTGCGTTTAGTTGGACCATCATTTATTCTTCAACAGGACAATGACCCCAAACACACATCCAGGATGTGTAAGGGCCATTTGGAGAAGAAGGAGAGTGATGGAGTGCTGCACCAGACGGCCTGGCCTCCACAGTCACCTGACCTAAACCCAGTTGAGATGGTTTGAGATGAGATGGACTGCAGAATGAAGGCAAAAGGGCCAACAAGCACTCAGCATCTCTGGAACTCATTCAAGACTGTTGGAAGGCCATTTCAGGTGACGACCTCGTGAGGGAATGGAGAAAATGCAGGAGTGTGCAAAGCAGTAATCAAAGCAAAGGGTGGCTATTTTGAATCTAACATATAAAACTTGTTTTGAACTGTTTGTTTACTACATAATTCCATATGTGTTCATTCAGTTTAGTTAGTTTAGTTTTGATCTCTTCAGTGAGAATCTACAATGTAAATAGTCATGAAAATAAATGAGAAGGTGTGTAGTGAACGTCAATCAGGAGAATATTAAACCCTTTTAAACATAATGCAGTCTAGTACATTATCATGAATGATCATATTATTTTGACACTGGGAAAAGGAAACTGGGAGCTTAGTGCATAATATATAGTATATTTTAAAAATCATTACTTTGCATTAACATAAAACACCTATGTAAAATGAACATATGAGTTAAACTGATTACATTAAAAATCATTGCATTCCATTTAATTTTTTATAAATCCATATAATACCATGTTTTGTTTTTTTTGTTTTGTTTTTGACACTGTAGTTTTTATTGACAGTTTTGTCACAGTTTTACATTTCAGGGGAAATAACCAAACAAGCACACAGTCAAAACAAACAGAACTAAAGCGAACAGAAGGTGTGGGTGCCAATTCTAATCAACTACCATATGCATACCTGCCTTTACTCCGCAGCATACGTACTCCAGCTTATATACATACTTTTATACATGCATGCATATATGGATATACAAAGTTATAGACCTTAAATGTTTTGTTCGTTCATTAATTTTCCTTGGTGCCATATAACAACATTTAACCAGTCTTTTGAAGAAGATGGATCCAGTTTGTACCAGTTTCTTGTTATAGCTTTCTTTGCAGCTATCAATAGGATATATGTCAAATACAAGTCATCATACATAACATACTCTCTAATATTCCCAAGATATACAATTTTAAAATTGTGTGGTAATTGATAGCCCAAGATAGTGCCTATTACAAGAGTCACGTTCTTCCAAAAATGATGCAGTTTCAGGCACTCCCAAAACACGTGCGTATGATGTGCTTCCATGTTACCACATCTTCTCCAGCATGGCAAACTGTCTTGAGTCTGCTTACTTTTGATTTTTGGTGTAATAAAGAATCAAGTAAGATGTTTCCATCCAAATTCTCTCCAGCATCTTGAGTTAGTCGTTGTGTTCTGGGTTTCACACATGTCTAACCATTCCTCAGTTGAGATATCAGTTTTTATTTCCTGCTCCCATTTCTTTTTTATGTATTCAGTTGATGTTGCCGTGTTCTCTCTTAGGTTTTTATATAGTACAGAAATTTCCTTGAATTGGAGGCGCCTGTATGATTTGATTACGCAATCAAGCACGCCATAAGACATACGCGAACTTCGTACTTCCTTTGAAAAGTAGTCTCTGAGTTGCAGGTACCGGTAAAAATCAGTTTTCTCTAGGCTATACAATCTTTTAAATCTTGGAAACTCATCAAATAGCCATCTTTCATTATTGTACAAATCGCTGTATAACACCAACATCATAGGCAGCCCAGTTTAACATCTTAACCTCCCTTTCCAACTTACTTTGTTTAACTAGGCCAAACCATATCTCTAGAGTGTGGGATGTTATAGGATCAGGGAAATGCTGTAAAGTTTTCTTAAGTTGCTGGACTGGGACATCCTGTACTCTTATTTCAATATCTTTCCATTTAGCATTAAAGTTCTGATCACACCACTTTATCGCTGGCCTGGTTTGGGCCGCATGGTAATAATCTTTTAGATTAGGGAGTCCCACACCACCTTGCTTCCTAGATAGTTGTAATGTTGTGTATTTTATTCTAGGCCTTTTACAGTTCCATAGAAATCTACTCATTTTTATTGTTGTGATTCTTGCACTAAAGTCTAGTGTAAGAGTTGACCATCGGTTTAGATCGTGTTTAATCTGAGTGGTCAGTCCATCATAATTTGTTTTAAAAAGGTCACTCAATTGTTTAGTCACAGTTACACCCAAGTATTTCATTTGTTTTGCAGTCCAGTTCAGTTTAAACTTATTTTTAACCTCTTTGGATGGCAAATAGTTGAAAGCCAGTATCTGAGTTTTGGTCACATTAATTTTGTACCCCGAATGTTCAGCAAAGATATTAATTACATTAAACAGTGGAATTAAAGTTTGGTTTGGATTTTCTAGGTAGACTATGATATCATATCATCTGCAAATAAGCTGATGATGTGGTCTTCCCCTTTAATATTTATTCCTCTCACTTCCTCACTTTGTCGGATGGCCTGTGCCAGGGGTTCAATATATAGAGCAAAGAGAAGAGGTGAGAGGCAACAGCCCTGGCGGGTACCCCTCTCTCTCGAGAGATTTGCTCCGTTAGGCTGCCGCTGATTCTAATTCGAGCCGTAGGAGATTGGAAAATAGATTTGATGCACATCACAGCACCATCATTAAAGCCAAACCTTTCAAGCACGGCATATAGGAAGCTCCAATCTACACTGTCGAAAGCCTTCTCTACATCCAGACTTACTAGGGCCGCACTGCCCTTTTTTGTTTGTATCGAATTAACTACCTGGAGGGTCCTTCTTATACTATCTTGAGTTCTACGTCCTGAGATAAAGCCAGTTTGGTCTTCATTAATTAAATCTGTCATAATTGCCCCATATCAAGATAAGATAAGATAACTCTTTATTGTCATACATAGTACAGTAGTACAATGAAATTGGAAAACTGTCCTACGTCGGCACTACATATAACACAACACGACACGATATGACACATCACAACGCAACACAAACAACACAACACAGTATATTAACTTAGTATAAAAAAGAAGAATAAGTGTATGTGTATTGCACACTGTTATTATTGCACATTAATTATTATTGCACCTTGTTATAAATATAAATATTATTATTGTTATCGTTTTAAACATTGTTACCTCCCCCCTAACAAAGTCCAGGCAGGTAGCCAGTCAGGTCAGCTATTTGCATTGATCAGGGCTATTGCCCTGTTGTAAAAGCTGTCCTTGAGTCTATTTGTTCGGGACCTCAGCAGCCTGAACCTCCTGCCAGACGGCAGCAGCTTAAACACCCGGTGTCCTGGGTGTGTGCAGTCCCGTAGGATGCTGCGTGCCCTCTTGAGACAGCGAGTGCTGTACAGGTCCTTCAGGGAGGGAAGAGGATGTCCAATGATTTTTTGGGCCATGTTGATGACCCTCTGGAGTGCCTTTCTGTGTGCTGTGGTGCAGCTGGAGAACCACACACCGATGCAATATGTCAGCACACTTTCAATGGAGCAGCGGTAGAAGACGGTCAG